TTTGAACATAAAGGCATGTTGTGTGTCACCGCAGTTAAATCGGTGTCTATCATGATAAAACCTTAATATCAAACTTATATAATGAGTTTGGAAATTTTTGAGAAATGCTTAATAAATGCACTAACTAAACCCATTAGATTTTAGCTGACTAAATTTACTGTAGATTTAAACTAGACAAAAACTAAAATCAATTCAGATGACTAAAACTAAATCAAAATTTGCTGTCAAAATTAACACTGTTTAAATTACATATTTAAAAAATTGACATAATTTTTGGAATACAATTTTTATGTATATTTAAAGTACACTACCATTCAGAACTTTGGGGATGGTAAGATTTTTTAAGTTTTTGAAAGTTTGTCACCAAGGCTTCATTTAGTTTATCAAAAATTACTGTAAAAACAGTAATATTGTGAAATATTATTGCAGTTGAAAACAACTGGTTTCAATTTTAATATATTTAAAAATGAAAAATTAAAATGTATTCCTTTGATCAAAGCTGAATTTTCAGCATCATTACTCCAGTCTTCAGCGTCACATGATCCTTCAGAAATCATTCTAATATGCTGATTTGCTGCTCAAGAAACATTTCTGATTATTGAAAACAATTGTGCTGCTTCATATTTTTGTGAAATCCATGATACATTTTTCAGTGAATAGAAAGAATGGCATTGTAACAATATAGATGTCATTTTTGATCAGTTTAATGCATCTTTGGATAATAAAACTATTAATTTCTTTCAAAACAAAAAACCTTACTGAGCCCAAACTTTTGAAGGGTCGTGTATTCTAAAAAAGTATAAACAGAAAAACTACCGTCGTTTCTGACACACACAAAAAAAGTACATATGCTATGGAAGTCAGTGGCTACTCTTCAATATATCTTCTTTTGTGAATTATCCCTTTAATAGTAATTCTAGCAGACCCGAAAAATGAAATTATGAACTTATAAATGAGCATAATATGGTCACTTTAAATGACTAGGGGAATATAAAGATGTCAGCGCTTGTAATAGACATGTTTGTTGTGGTGCTCTGTGATATTTTGGGTGGAACTGGTCTGTGTGTGTTTTGGGAAGTGTTGGCACACTTGAGCCAATCATACAGTCTGCAGGTCATCACAGGCAGCCTGACCATTTGGCTCACCGCTGACTGCATGTCAGAACGGCCAACATGCCAAGAGCACGGGACTCATGTACACACTCGAACACACACCCACGGCTTCAAGTACTCAAACACAAGGGCTTTTGTTTGATGCTGCGCTTCTGAAACAAAGCCAGGCCACACTTCAAGTGGAAAAAGTTCAGATTGACGCTTCGTCATCGCTGCTGTTGTTTTGACTCAGCTTGTGACCACATCTGACACCTCACTGTCCTCTGACACCCATGCGAAGATTCGCTTTCACTCAGACATCAGGGTACATTCATATTATTGCGGTTTTGCTCCGGAAGCAGGGCTTCGATGTCATGTGAAGGCAGTGCCAGCGCTGAAAGAGTTAACGTGACAAATGTGAGAGGGCGGGACCTGGGTGGAGTGATTGACACCGAGTGTAGCCAATGACGACGCAGCCCTTCCTCAGCAAGGACTCTCTTATTATACAACAAGAGCTGCTTTGGAGAAGTTGTGATTTGCTGTGAATACTTTAAATGCATAATCGCAGCACCTGCAATGCAGTATGGAGTTGACCTGGATATACCCAAAGTGTCACACACATACATGCAGCACAGGAGTGAAACCACTAGATTGATCGGGGGAAACAACTCCAATTATTATGGCTTACCGCTGGGATAAATGGCAATAAAAGCGATTGTTTGAGCTGGAATTGTTCCTGACAGTCCTATTATCCTGCCATGCAAACATGAGCACAGTTGCATTTGATTGCATACAGTTGGTCTCAAATAAGCGGTGTCCTCTGTGTGAAACACTGATTATCTTTAGTTTGCCTCCTGGCAGATTTGTTTGCATCAAAATTGCCTGTATTTATTTGTTTTGGGCATTTTGTTGGAATATGTTCTTTGCCTATGATGAACTGATTGTCGCTTTGGATAACAGCATCTGCTAAATGTGCAATGAATCAATTCCTAATAGAAAAACTAAAGTCCTGGCCTATGTTTTTTATGGTTGAATATCCCGTTTTAGGACAGCACTATTAATCAAAGTAAATTTGGCTGCATAATTTGGGCAACATTTTTTGAGATTAAATGTCTAACTATCAAATTATTTTAATAATAAACAGTCATAAGTTAGCTTTTAATTGCCATTTTACACACTCTGAGTTTTAGAAGTTGATTGGGGTTTTGATATGAGGTATTTTTGCAGCTTGCTGAAGTATTTGTTTTCTGACTAAATGAAAGCTTGATCGTGTAATGTTTGAAATTAAGACAACCATAAAAGTTAGTATTGTAATTTTACAGTTTTGCTGTAAAATAATGTTTTCGGGAGTACTTTTTTATTTTACAGTAAAGTATTACAATAGTAACATTTCAAATTTTTCTGCGGAAATAAAAGCTTGAAGAGAACAATAAATGTTAGTATTGTCATTTTACAGTTTTACGGTCATTTATTTTTCATAAAACGTGCTTATTTTACAGTAAAATATTACAGAAGTAATCTTTCTTTTTTCTGCCAAAATAAAAGTTTGATAGTTTGACATTCGAAAATGAAGAAATTAAGACAACAATAAATGTAAGTATTATAATTTTACAGTTTTGCTATAAAATACAATTGTTTTTTCATAAAACATGTTTATTTTACAGTAGAATATTACAAAAGTAATATTTCTTATTTTTCTGACAAAATAAAAGCTTGATAGTTTAATGTTTGAAAATTAAGATCACCATTATACAGTACTGTAATTGTACCGTTTTATTGTCAAATAATTTTTTTTTTTAATTTTACAGTAAAATATTACAATAGTAATATTTAATAGGAATTTAGTTTAATATTTTAATAATAATAATAATAATAATGACATTTAAGTGATATATAATCTATTTTTTTTCAGTAAAATCTGGAAATGTTTTTTTAACAAGTTGAATTGCCATTTTTAAATTGCAATTGCAGTTTTTTTTTAAAATATAAAAAAACAATGAGTTTTTTCCCCAAATTGTGCCACCCTTATGAAATATGTCGCATTATGGTAAATGGGTTGGGAATGCCATTTCATGAGGTAA